TCCCTGTCCTCATCCTTGTCCTCATCCCTGTGCCTGTCTCTGTCCCTATCCTGTCCCCATCCCTGTCCCCATCCCTGCCTTGCTCCCTGTCCCCATCCTTGTCCCTTTCCTTGTCCTGGCCCTGTCCTCGTCCCTGTCCCCATCCCCATCCCTGTCCCCATCCCTGCCTCGCTCCCTGTCCCCATCCTTGTCCCCTTCCTTTTCCTGGCCCTGTTCCCATCCCTGTCCCCATCCTTGTCCCCTCCCCTGTCCCGTCCCTGTCCCCATCCCCACTCCTGTTTGTCCCTGTCCCTGTCCTGGCTCTGTCCCCGTCCCTGTCCTTGTTCCTGCCTCTCTCCCTGTCCCCTCCCCTGTCCCATCCCTGTCCCCATCCCCACTCCTGTTTGTCCCTCTCCTGGCTCTGTCCCCATCCCTGTCCCCGTCCCCTGGCGGTGTCCCCTGTCTCCAGCCGAGCCGTGTGTGTCTGTCCCCTCAGTCCTGCCCGCCAGTCCCCCGCTGGGCGCCTCGTCTGTCACCGTCACCTCGGGCCCGGGCACGGCCACCCCTCCCGGTGGCTTCTCCTTCTCTCCGGTGACGATGATCTCGGCCGTGAAGCAGAAGAGCGCCTTCGCCCCCGTGCTGCGGCCACAGGGCTCCCCCCCGCCCGCCTGCGCCAGCGCCCTGCAAGGTCAGACTGTCCCCAAGGCCACCAAGGCCACCGTGGTCTCTGACACCCAGCCCCTGGTGGCTCATGCACCATGGAGGGTCCCCGGTGTCACCACGCTCCCGTACATGGGAATGGTTGGGCCTGCCCTGTGCCACACCCTTGTGCCTCGTCCCCGCTGTCCCCAGTGTCCCCAAGGTCCTCAAGGTCCCTGACATCTGTCCCTAGTGTCCCCAGTGTCCCCAGGGTCCTCAGTGTCCCCGGTGTCCCCAAGGTCCCTGACATCTGTCCCCAGTGTTCCCCAGTGTCCCCATGTCCCCAAGGTCCCTGACATCTGTCCCCAGGTGGCCCCAGCCCCATAGAGGGTCCCTGGTGTCACCGTGTCCCTTGCACCTCTCTGGCTCTCTGGTCAGGTCTCTGCTCTGTGCCACCCCTGTCCCTGTCCACCTGTGTCCCCAGTGTCCCCAAGGCGTGTGACACCTGTCCCTGGGTGGCCCTGCCCCACAGAGGGGCACTGGGTCACCCAGGGGTCACTGGCTGTCACTGTGACCCCTGTACCGCCCACGGGCGTGGCTGGAGCTGCCCTGTGCCACCCTGGTACCTGTCCCCTTCGTGTCCCCAGTGTCCCTGAGGTCCCTGGTGTCCCCAACACACACCTCGAGTCCCCCTGCCCCACCGAGGGTCCCCGATGTCACCGCACTCCTGCCTGACGTCCCTGCCCATGTGACGCCCACACCTGGTGTTGTCCCATGCCACCCTTGTCCCTGGTGTCCCCGGTGTCCCCTCCTGACGCTGTCCCTGTCCTGCCCAGACCCGGCTTTCGAGGACTCGGACAAATTCCACGCTCCGGCGCGGCCGCTCCAGGGATTGGCCTATTCCTAAGGACGGCGTGTCCGGAGGGGCTCCGGACCCCCCATCCCACCGGGACAGGAGCGGGGACAAGGACTGGGGACATCCCTGTCCCCTGTGCCCACCCCTTGCCTCCCCTCAGAGCTGGGATGGCTCCGGAGCAGCCACGCAGAGCAGGATGAGGGGACATCCCCCCGATGTCCCTACCCGGGTGACCCCGGCCTGGCCTGGCTGAGGGGGGACTTGGGGAAATCCTGGAATGAGCCAAAATTCCTGGGTTTGGCCTCGGGAAGAGGCGGAGAGAGCCGGGAATGGGGGGCAGCGGAGGGCGTGGGATGGAGGTGCTGGGATGGGCGGGAGGGGTGACCCAAAGTGGGATGGAAGCTCCGGAAAAGGATGGATGTTCCAAGGTGGGATGGATGTTCCAAAGTGGGATGGAAGTTTCCAAGGTGGGATGAAACCTCTGGAAAAGGATGGATGGTCCAAGGTGGGATGGATGTTCCAAGGTGGGATGGAAGCTCTGGAAAAAGATGGATGGTCCTAGGTGGGATGGATGCTCTGGGATGGGATGGAAGCTCCAGGATGGGCTAGATGATCCAAAGTGGGACAGATGATCCAAGGTGGGATGGATGTTCCAGGATAGGAGGGATGTTCTAGGTGGGATGGAAGCTCCAAGGTGGGATGGAAGCTCTAGAAAAAGGTGGATGATCCAAGATGGGATGGATGTTCCAAGGTGGGATGGATGCTCCAGGGTGGGACAGATGATCCAAGGTGGGATGGATGATCCAGGTGGGATGGAAGCTCCAGATGGGAAGGATACTCCAGGATAGGAAGGATATTCTATGGAAGCTCTGGAAAAAGATGGCTGCTCCAGGATGAGGGGTGGATGATCTGGGATGGGTGGGATCATCCAAAGTGGGATGGATGCTCTGGAAAAGGATGGAATCTCCAACATGGGATGGATGCTTCAGAATAGGGTGGATAATCGGAGTTGGCGGGATGATCCAAGGTGGGATGGAAGCTCCAGGGTGGGATGGAAGCTCCAGGTGGGATGGATGACCCAAGGTGGGATGGATGACCCAGAATAGGGTGGATACTCGGGGTTGAAGGGATGATCCAGGATGGGATGGATGCTCCAGAAAAAAGATGGATATTGAGGATTAGAGGGATGATCCAGGGAAAGATGGATGTTCCTGGGCAAGGGGGGTGAACTGGGGTGAGATGGATGGATGGATGGATGGATGGATGGATGGATGGATGGATGATGGATGGATGGATGGATGATGGATGGATGGATGGATGATGGATGATGGATGGATGGATGGATGGATGGATGGATGGATGATGGATGGATGGATGGATGGATGGATGGATGATGGATGGATGGATGGATGATGGATGGATGGATGGATGGATGATGGATGATGGATGGATGGATGATGGATGGATGATGGATGGATGGATGGATGGATGATGGATGGATGGATGATGGATGGATGGATGGATGGATGGATGGATGGATGATGGATGGATGATGGATGGATGGATGATGGACGATGGATGATGGATGGATGGATGGATGGATGATGGATGGATGGATGATGGATGGATGGATGGATGCCTCACCTAAGGAACGGATTGGGCTCTATAAGTCAAGT